AATATAGTGAAAAATACAACCATTGATATATATTCCTTCATTATCCTTATCAAATAAGTTGTTTATGTCATTTATGTAGAAGTTGAAAAGGTATGGAAAAAGAGGTTCAGATTGAAGTATTCCACGTTTTGTAATTATTTCTGGACTAAGTAAGTTGCTATTTACAATATGTAGTTTATAAGAAGGAAAAAGATGCATAATCAAATTTGAAAAACTGTTACCTGCACCATATTGTTTTAATTTATTAATCAGAGTCGGAACATGAACAGAGTCAAAAAGCTTTGGTGATATCAATGAAGACAACATAAATTTTCCTATGTTTTTTGTAAATATATTTGAATAATTGAGGATAGCAACAAAATAGCAAATTCTGTACCCCTGGATTTGGTGAAAGTGTATTGAAATTCAGAGTTAAGATTCATTTCTTGGGTCCATCGCTAGAAATGGTTTACTAAAATAGATGTGAAACATTTCCTTAATACTGGAAGAAGAGCAATCGGTCTATAATTTTCAGGTTCCAAATGATGCCCTTTTTTTGTAGATCATAATTAATTTTGCTGTATTCCAAATTTCTGGGTATTTAGACGTTTTATAAAAAAGTTGAACGAGTCAAGCAAAATCTGTTTTCCCAATGGAGGCAGTGATTTGATAAATTTGGAAGTTATTAGGTCAATGCCAGGGGCAGATTTTAATTTCATTCTTTGGATTGAATCCTCAAGTTTGTCAAAAGTAAATGGCAAATCAAACAAATTATTCGGATTAAAGGATATTAGAGTTAGTGAATTAGCTATATTTGGAAATCTGTTAAAGAATTGAATCCAAGTTGATGTTTCTATATTTATTCGATGATCTAATTTTTTCCTTCTTAGTCTCTGTATTGTAGTCCAGAAGAAATCTGAATTTTTGGTAGAAATCAATTGATGATGTAAATTTTTTAAATAGTTGATCTTTTTTGCTTTTAATAAATTAAAATAAATAGTTTTTAATTTTTTATAATTCATAAATGTTTCATTTGAATAATTTTGTCTAAATTGGTGCAAAGCTTTATTCTTCTTTCTTTTCACTATGTAGCAGTGGAAGTCATACCAGGATTTTTTAAATGTAGAAATTTGTTGTTTTAAAGTTTGGATTTTTATAAATTGGTTAATTATATTTACCAGTTGTGTATATTTTTCGTTTTCATTATATAATTCATTATTTATTGTAGTTTTGATACAATCACTAATTTGTGAAAAAAGTCTTGATAATTATAATGAATTATTTGATGAAATATAGATTTTTTCTCATAATCAGTTTTAGTTTAAATTTCAAAAGAAGTTCAAATCGGAAAATGGTCAGACATATCACAATTCAAAATCTGAATAGATACACACAGATCCGACATGAGTTCTGAGCAAATAGTTAAATCTATTACCGAACATCCATTATAATTTATACATGTAAATTCAGAAGGACAGTCAAATCTTAGCCTTCCATTCATTATATGAATATATTTGAGCAGTTGCATTCCGAGTTTATTATATTTTTTATCTTTGGATTCTCTGGTATTGCAAATTAATGAATTGGGACCATAATATAATGTATCCATCTGTTGAGCTATTCTAGCATTCATATCGCCTATGATTATAATATATGGAGAAATATGCTTCCAACTTTCACATTGATCAAATATTTTATTTATAATTTCTAATTGTTCTGGAGGAGTGTATATCAATAGAATTATTATAAGCTTTTTAAATAACAATGTTATAGTTGAATTAGTAACATGTAGTAAAACCATTATGTAGTTATCAGTTTTTTCATTAAATTTAATCTCTCCAATATTTTTTTTTTAATCAGCAAACATAAACTTCCATACAGTCAGCCTGGACCATCCGGTTTTTGAGCAATTGTTGAGATAATATTAAATTGGTTGTTAACTTTGTCTAGATTTGTAATCGGATAGGTAATCCATGTTTCTGTAATGCCTAATATATGGTTATTATTCAACAAATGTATAAAATTATCGGTTTTAATTTTTTTTGCTAATCCTTGGCAGTTCCAATTAATTATTCACAATAATTGTCTTGTTGTTTTTTTTCCTTATTGATTTTTTCTTTAATATTGATTAGGATGTCCGATTTGGCAGATCTTCCAAAGGAGTATACTCTAAAAAATCTTCAGCGTAAACTAGTTGATGCTGTGTTAAACTATAAGTAATTTTATGCTGATTTATTGTGAAATAATCATCTCTTAATTTAATTTGAAAACCACGTTTTTTTAAATCAATGTAATGTGCTAAAAGCATTTTTCTTCTTAGCCGTGAATCCTTAACTATGTCTGCAGCCAGATTTACTTTCTTCCATTCTCCTAATAATTTATTTTGTTTTAACTTATTAAAATTCATCAATATATTATTGCGTAGTTGTTCTGTTCTTAAAGTTATACATTTAATATTAATTCTAGGATTGGGTATATTATGAATAAATTTTATATCTTCTTTTTCATTGATTGGCATTTTAGTAACAAATGCTAGAAAGTCTAAAAGTTCTTTGTGATTCTTATCTATCATAATATTTGTAAAATCGTAAATTATTAACTTATTATTATTAATAGCATTATTCATAGCATCAAGTCTAAATTGCATTTGTTCTTTGTAAGTACCCAGTTTAGTCAACTCTAATTCAATTTTTTCATATTTTTTCATTCACCAATTGTAGTTGTTTTTTAAATTCTATAATTTCGGTGTGAATATTTTTAATTTCATCATGAATAAGCATAAATTTGTTATCTGTCTTTTGGTTGCTAGCAGTAATAAGTTCAACTATCTTTAGCCATAACTCTGCAGTTGAGATGTCAGATGACTCTGGATTAGTTGACTTGGTTAAACTATTAGATTTAGAATTCTCACCTGATGTATTTGGAGAAACTGTTCTTCTTGTTTCTGTATAGTCAGTTATTAGATTTATTTCAGATCCAGATGATTTTGCATAGTTAGATAGTTGATTTGAACGATTAGTAGGTGTTTTCTGCAGAGGTCCAGGGTTAGATTCTATGCCAGACATTAGCAATAATAGCAAAATCAGTTTATAATTAATCATTATAGCGAACAAAAAATATATTTTAAGGTAATTAACAAGAAAAAAATGCCTTTGGTGAAGCAGAGAGAAAAAAGTCACCAACAGACTTGACAAAAGAAAAAATGACAAACGAAACTTCATGACTTTATTGCAAAAGAACAAGAATTTCAGAAAAGTCAGGACCTTTATCACAAAAAATGAACTTTACATTCCTGTGTGCATGTATTATTTAACATATATTATTATACAAATTAATATAAAAACAACTTAAAATAAAAGTAAAATTTGTTTATTTTTGGTTGCGTGATCCCCTATCCCTATTTACTCTATGTTAAAATGACCTCATTTAATGCTGTTTTGCTTAGTGCTTTGTTGTCTAGGAATGCATCCCCACATTAAGCAGGGTCTACTGTACTGATAAAAATTGTACTGTTTTTGTAAATTATTGTTAAATTTATGTTTTTTACAGTAAGAATTATCTATAATGATTGCAAAATTCAAGAAGTAAAATTTACAAATTACATCATCACAAAGATAAGAAATGAATCTAAAATTCTTAATATCATACTTCTTATAATATTTATATCTTCTTATAATTTATAAATTTTTCAATATTTATGTTATCACATGTAATAAAATGAAGAATAATTCTGATAAAAAACTAATAGACTTTAAAGTGCATCATCAATGAATTATTTGCAGACTAATTTAAAGAATTAAATAATTATTAACTCTACATTGTTGAAAATGTTGAAACTTTGCACCATATTTAAATAAAAGAAAATGCAATCTGCTTATCAAGAAAGCCAAAAATAAGGATTTATTAGTAACATTTTGGCCTACTGTTAAGGTGGTTTCAGCTAACTACATTCAATTGACATGAAGAGCTTATCTATGGTAGACTGCATCTATTGTTCTCAACTTGGTCTGCCAATTCCACAACACCTTACAAGTGACACACAAAGTTGTATGTAAAACCTGTGTGTAATCTTCTCAAATATTGATAGATTTTCTAACTTCTTTATATTATTTCTCTATGGATTTTATCATAAGTGTCATTTTCATTTTTTCATACCAGAATTTCCAAAAAATGAATTATATGGCAGAATTTTTACCTGTTATATATACCTGTTAGTGCAATAGGAAAATGCTGATTGGTCACTTTCTGTAGTGGGAATTTCTGAATGCATTGCTTTCTGAGCATGTAAAGATATCCTTATCTTTAGTCATTGATGAAATGATCATGAAAGTCATAAAACTGTGTAGGCCTAGTAAGATATAAATTTCAATTAGGTTTAAATAACAAAAAGTGGGATGAGGATTTTATTTCTTAGATGTAAGTCTAGAAGAATCCAGAAGGGGATATGAAAACATTTGTTATTTATCACTTAGTGGTACTACACACTGGTTAGTGGTTGCTGTGAATCTTAATTATTGTTATCCCAGTGTGGTAAGCAAATATCTAAAAATTTTCTAATTAGTCTCAGAAGAGGAGGGACTTAATTCTTGTACTCGGTGAAAATGGGTAAGATTGGCTATAATCTAATGATCTTAATCTTTGCTATAGTTTTTGTTTGAGCAATGCTGGGCTCATCTGTTAGTATACAATAAATGGGTTTTGTGTAAAGGCACATGTTTTTCCTGCCTCCTTCAACACCATCCACATGTGAAAAGACCCTAGACCATTTCTGACACAAGAATTAACTGATTCCCTCCCTTTTCTGGCTAACTCACAATAATCAATGCAAAAGTACATTCATAATATCTTTTGCAATGCTTTATGATGTTCCAAGATTATTATTGACCAATTTTAATTTCAGACATTTGTTCATTTCTCAGATGCATCAAAATAGTTAGCTTGATATATATGAAGATATAAGAATTTGATAGGTTCTATTATTTTTTGAATTTATGATTAAATAATTAATTAACTATACTTACTTGTCCCATTAGTCCTGCTTTTGTAGTACTAAAGTTCACTGTTGTAATTAAAGCAGATGCATATGGTGGCAATTCCAATGAAGAATATTTTGTAATTAAAAACATTTTGAAATTTTCATTGAAATCAACTAATTTCTCACCAATTTGAATAACATATCTGGGACCTTAAAAAAAAATTAACATACAAAATTAACAACATAAACATATTTTGTTTATGTTGTCTCTTTCAATTATTCATATTATAATTATTGTGATACTATTATACAGGAGGGTGCAAAGTTGAGAATCTGATACAGTTGAGAATCTGAGAAATACAAATGTTTGGTGTTCATTATTATTATCATTTATTAGTTTGTATTCCTTATTTGTGATTTAATTTGTACATAAAAATAAATGTTTTTTCTTCCTATTTTCTCCCTATATGTTTTTTTTCCATAATAGCAACTATATAACTACTTTTGCACCCCCTGTATATTAATTATGTGATACAAATATTAAAAATTTTAATTTAAATAAGTTTTCAAAAATTCTAAGTCATCCTCTTGATAAAAATAAAACTGTATAATTCTGATATGATAAAAATCAGCAATTTTATACTGGAATCTTATAATACTATAAGGAAATGTAAATTTTAAACAACTAAGTGGCAAAAGATAGCAAGTAAATATTATAAATAATTATTTATACTATAAATACAATACATTTGTATTATTATAATATATAACAAAAACATAAATTTTCATGAATTTTCCGCATGCCTCTACAATTTTTATATCAGTCTTTATATTCAAATTCAAAAATTTACAAATAGTTATTTATGTAGATTTTTAATTATAAATGAAATTGATGATCCAGTTTACTTACAAACATCTTACATATAAATATTTTTCAAATGCATATGAAAAAATAAATTTACAATGACTTTTATTATTACAAAGATTATTATTTCATATAGTATTTTACTATATTATTAATACTATATGAAATAATAATCGTTATTATAAATTGTTGTACTCATTTAGTTTGCTTAATATTCATAAAAATTTTGTAGGTTGAATTTTTTGGTATGTTATTAGAAGTTTGAAGTACTTTAGCTCTCTACTAAAGTATTTCCCACTTCTAATTTCAATATTTATACCACAAAATTCAATTTATGCTGTTAATAGAAAGTTAAAAAAACAATTTTGTTCAATCAATGCTATAAGAATAAGAAAAGTAAATTAAATAGTAATGATTATATATTCAAAGAATTTATGAATACTATTCATGGTGATTGCCATTAAAGGATTATCAAAATAAAATAAACAATTTATTAACAGCAATTAAAATTGTATCTAATGGTAAGTAATAGTTATCCTACTGTCATAACCAAATATTGAAGAAAAGCTAAATAAAGACTACTATGTAGAAGAATTAGAAGAAGGAATAGACATGGAATCCATGTTAGTAAAACTTACAAGACATGCTAAGATGTTGGGACATGATATGAATTACCTTAGATGTTTTTTAAGAGAGGAAACTATGCCCAATACTTTTGTACTTATAGGGAAATCTAAATGTGAAAATAGAGTTTTATGCTATTTTCTCTCTAAAACATGTAAGTGTTATTGTAAAAAATCTTTATGAAAAAATAATAACAATGTGTTTCTAATTATATTATTGTTCTTTCATAGCATCGAGGAGGGGTTGTGAAATCACAACAGCCCAAAATGCATCTGTATAATCTGTGTTAAGTTTATATAATAAAATCTTAAGTCATTCAACTGAAAATTGCTATGAGAAAATCAACCATTATGGATTAAAGTGATTTTATACACATCTACACAGAGCTAAATAAAGATTATCTCATTTTTTTTCAGTTTTCCTAATTTTTCAACCATATATTGATAGTCCATTATTTCCTATAGTTATTTTTATTTGATCTACTATTTCTTCATTCTTGGCAATAAAATAAAAATTATATATATAGGGCACACATTTACTAAGAATAAATTGTTAAAACATAGTAGATAAAAGCTTCTCAAGAATATCATAATAAACATTTTATACTTAAAATATAATTGATTAGTAACTGAGAAAAGACAGCCAGATGGCCGAGCAGTTAAGGTGACAGCCTACAGCTATAGGGAATCCAGGATCAAATCTGGATGGGTTTGAAAACCCCAGGAATTTTTAGGGATGGTTTATTTGGCTATGTCAAGCTCTGTCCCTCACCATCTGGCCCCCCCACTGTGGGACTGGCTGAGCCCGTAATAGGTTTGTTAAAAAACGGTTTCTCTTAGTGCCCACGGGATAATGACAGTTAAAAAAAGTATTTATTTTTTATTTTTTCCCTATCACATGTGATTGGTTATCCAAAATTATCCCACCCTGATTATTTTGGATAATTCATGCTTTACTGTATTATAAAATCATTAAACAATTAAATGAATTCCTATCAAGTCGCCAATTATGACAAAATCATTTTAATTACAGGTAGCCCTCAGTTTACGCCGCAGTTCCATTCCTGCAAAAGCCGGCGCAAATCGAATCGGCGTAAAACGAACCCATATTTACAGTGAGGTATAGGGTTAGGTTCTACATAAGTGAAAAATAAGCTAATAATTTTGTTTATTAATACAATATAATACAAAATACATATAAATTTTATNCAGTTAAAGTTATGAATGAGAAACTATGAGACTACTATAAAACATGATATAAACATATTAATTAAAAAATGCTGTATTTTACAGTAGCACTTTTCAAACTTGTTGATGTGGAAAATTTATGTCTAGAAAAATATAATACAGATTCCAATATGTCAGGGATAAGTACAATATTTTTGCTATATTATCAAGTTATTTCATTTAGTGCAAATGTGTCCATATAACAGTATCTTTAGGTACAAATATACTGTATCAGTAAGGCATATTTATCAATATTGTAATGTTTGCTTCTGAAAATATTATTTGATACCATATGGTCTTGGAAATTATCTGTGAACTTATTGTGAATTTATCTGTGGAATTAACTGTGAAAAATCAGCTTTGGTTTACTAGCACTAATCTAAGACTTCAAGCAGCAAAGAGTTTGTGTATTAAAAACAATATTTTACAATATTGTTTTTAATACACAATTAAATGTTTATGTTAAAAAATCAATAAGACATTTTAATTCCTAACTAGAAATTTAAAGAAAATGAAAAAGTTAAATTTTGATTAAATTCTTATTTGCCTACTAACTTAAAACAATGCGATTTGAAATAGTTTATTTCATCCAAAAATTCTTATATAAATTACTATCTACATTTTTCAATTATTTTATATTTTAAACTAAATTTTATTTATTATTTGAATATTACAATACACTAGAACAAACTATTACAATTTAACAGTAGAAATTTTACTTACACCTATTTCCAATTTAGAAAGCTAAAAACAATACAAATTATCAATATTAGTAATTTAAAATTAAATATAAATTGAAATGCAGTAATTGACTTTTATTAACAAAGTTTTCTATCTACTTCATTGTAATTTTATTTGCTTATTCCAGTATTTAACATGAAACAGTCATTTCTTAAGCTTGCATATTTATTTTTAAAATAAATAAAATGTTTTAGAAGTTTTAAAAGAATTAATAACATAGAAAAATTTTACTAAATCATATTTATATAAATGGTTTTAGAAATTCTACTTATATATACTACTTGATTCATATCAATCAGTTTTTACCTTTTCATTACTGGATTAAAAAAGATTTTTTGGTTTTTATAGTTTTAAGTTCACAACAGTATATGTTTTCTAGTAACAGTATGGGGAGAAAACCAAAAGAACTATATTATTAAATTTGAAAAATTATTGAAAGAAACTGAAATATTTAAAGTAGATATTAATTTTTTTAAGTTGTATATATCAGCAATGGGGACAAGACAAGTTATAGACACTGCTGTTGCCCAATCATATTAAATTAAAACGAGTTTACATAGAAGTTTTCTCATAAAAATTCATAATCAAATAGTGAAATATGTTATTGAATTTAACAGAATTAAAATTAAAAGATAAAGAAATAAATTAAAAAATTAAATAAGAAATTTGCCCAACATTAAAATTAAAAATAGAATTGGAAAAAAGTAGTAATTAATAAAATCAGATTAAAAAAAAAAAAACAAATGCAATATGTAAAATTTTCCAAGAAAGATTTAGATTATAATTGTGGGCCTGATCCAACCCATGACAATACCAACAAGAGACACGGAATTTAAGTCGTTACTTGATATTGATAAGCAATTATACAGAAAGTGCATATCTTGAATAGTTTCACCACTTGTGGCATACAGTAAGGAGATCTAAAAATCAGTTAACTATCCCAGGGGTCGGCAGGAGCGGCTCATGAACCGCATGCAGCTCTTTGCATAGATGTTTGCGACTCTTCAGACATAAACTCCAATTTCACCTCATCTTAAGCAGCCTTGTAACTTATGAGTTTATGAGATAGAGCCACTGAACAAACTTCGACTCATATGGCATACTCTCTAACTCTCTAGCCCGTCCACACATGACAACACTTGCATTAATCAATATGAGTCGCATGTTAACTTATTAAATATATATATATAATCAGTTAAAGTTATGAATGAGAAACTATGAGACTACTATAAAACATGATATAAACATATTAATTAAAAAATGCTGTATTTTACAGTAGCACTTTTCAAACTTGTTGATGTGGAAAATTTATGTCTAGAAAAATATAATACAGATTCCAATATGTCAGGGATAAGTACAATATTTTTGCTATATTATCAAGTTATTTCATTTAGTGCAAATGTGTCCATATAACAGTATCTTTAGGTACAAATATACTGTATCAGTAAGGCATATTTATCAATATTGTAATGTTTGCTTCTGAAAATATTATTTGATACCATATGGTCTTGGAAATTATCTGTGAACTTATTGTGAATTTATCTGTGGAATTAACTGTGAAAAATCAGCTTTGGTTTACTAGCACTAATCTAAGACTTCAAGCAGCAAAGAGTTTGTGTATTAAAAACAATATTTTACAATATTGTTTTTAATACACAATTAAATGTTTATGTTAAAAAATCAATAAGACATTTTAATTCCTAACTAGAAATTTAAAGAAAATGAAAAAGTTAAATTTTGATTAAATTCTTATTTGCCTACTAACTTAAAACAATGCGATTTGAAATAGTTTATTTCATCCAAAAATTCTTATATAAATTACTATCTACATTTTTCAATTATTTTATATTTTAAACTAAATTTTATTTATTATTTGAATATTACAATACACTAGAACAAACTATTACAATTTAACAGTAGAAATTTTACTTACACCTATTTCCAATTTAGAAAGCTAAAAACAATACAAATTATCAATATTAGTAATTTAAAATTAAATATAAATTGAAATGCAGTAATTGACTTTTATTAACAAAGTTTTCTATCTACTTCATTGTAATTTTATTTGCTTATTCCAGTATTTAACATGAAACAGTCATTTCTTAAGCTTGCATATTTATTTTTAAAATAAATAAAATGTTTTAGAAGTTTTAAAAGAATTAATAACATAGAAAAATTTTACTAAATCATATTTATATAAATGGTTTTAGAAATTCTACTTATATATACTACTTGATTCATATCAATCAGTTTTTACCTTTTCATTACTGGATTAAAAAAGATTTTTTGGTTTTTATAGTTTTAAGTTCACAACAGTATATGTTTTCTAGTAACAGTACGGGGAGAAAACCAAAAGAACTATATTATTAAATTTGAAAAATTATTGAAAGAAACTGAAATATTTAAAGTAGATATTAATTTTTTTAAGTTGTATATATCAGCAATGGGGACAAGACAAGTTATAGACACTGCTGTTGCCCAATCATATTAAATTAAAACGAGTTTACATAGAAGTTTTCTCATAAAAATTCATAATCAAATAGTGAAATATGTTATTGAATTTAACAGAATTAAAATTAAAAGATAAAGAAATAAATTAAAAAATTAAATAAGAAATTTGCCCAACATTAAAATTAAAAATAGAATTGGAAAAAAGTAGTAATTAATAAAATCAGATTAAAAAAAAAAAAACAAATGCAATATGTAAAATTTTCCAAGAAAGATTTAGATTATAATTGTGGGCCTGATCCAACCCATGACAATACCAACAAGAGACACGGAATTTAAGTCGTTACTTGATATTGATAAGCAATTATACAGAAAGTGCATATCTTGAATAGTTTCACCACTTGTGGCATACAGTAAGGAGATCTAAAAATCAGTTAACTATCCCAGGGGTCGGCAGGAGCGGCTCATGAACCGCATGCAGCTCTTTGCATAGATGTTTGCGACTCTTCAGACATAAACTCCAATTTCACCTCATCTTAAGCAGCCTTGTAACTTATGAGTTTATGAGATAGAGCCACTGAACAAACTTCGACTCATATGGCATACTCTCTACCACTCTTTAGCCCGTCCACACATGACAACACTTGCATTAATCAATATGAGTCGCATGTGAGTGGTAGCATTTGAAGCATATCTATATATATATAACCCATTGAATGTGTGTCCATCCGTCCGACGTCTGTCCATATAACGTTATGCCAAAAACAGCCACTAGAGGCCCCCTATCATGTGTTGTATTTCGCACATTTCAATTAACAATATAAATTATTATTTACATTAACAGTATAAATTATTATTATTTATTTGACCAATAGCCAATAACAATATAAATAATTCAGTATATTTGTAAATAGGAATTTATTATTGTCACAAAATGCCTGTAACGCGCACTAGGGGGCATCTCTCTGGTATATATATGTGGCTCTCCAGTACTTTTGTTATCCTGTTTCTATAACAATTTAGCTCTTCTCACTTGACAAACTGCTGACCCTTGAACTATCCTAAAGATTAAACAAGCCTACAAAATGAGGAACTACATATTAAAAACAAAATTAAGAAAAATTTACCTACAAAAATAAAGCAAAAGTACTGTACATTAGAACTAAATGGTTTGAGCATTACAAAAAAAAAATTGGACTACAGAATTTTTTATTAAAAATGGCTTAACAATCATTAAAGTAAATTAACTGAGATAGTGGAAAAGAAGTGGGTAATTCAAAAAGAAAGTGAAATAAAAAATAATATGCTATATAAAATATTACTGAGAGATCCAACAGAAATAATTTCAAAAGTAACTTAGAATATTGGAATAACTAAATGAGAATAACTTAGAATAACTAAATTAAATCAATTAAAGAAAATAAATACTTAAATCAAAAATTACCTATTATGTCTTGATAACAATAGAAAACAACTAGTACTAAATTTGAGTAAAGATTCCAGCAATGAGTTATGCAACTTTCCAGATGAAAAATATTTATGTTTAAGAAACATCTTAGCAAGTTTTAAAATTGAGTGTGATACCATCTATTATAAGATATTATATAAAAACCCTTATATTATTAATTAAAATAAAAAGGCAAATGGTTTAATTTTGAGGATAGAGATGAATTTTTAAAAATATTGTAAGTGCCACCAACAATGAAAATTTTTGTTATGTCTGATATGACATGATTTCCTTGTATCGCCCTATACTCTCAAACTTTAATCACCAAAATTTAATAGCATCAATGCCCCTTATATACCAGATTATCATGCCAAATTCCTTAATCTTTACTCCATCTTGAGACATTAAATGAAATAGATGCCAATACAAATGTTCATAGAATTTTTTCCTTTTTTGGGTTCAGGAAATCTCAAAATATTGAGATTTGCAAAAAACTGGAGGGTCAAATTTAATATGATTCTAATACTTTCCCACGTTATGTATACAGTAGAGCATTGTTTATCCGAAAGTCAATTATCTGAAAGAATTCCAGTCAGCAAATTTAAATTTTTCTCAGTGCTGTGGCGCTGCAATCTTTGGCTATGTCTTGGGCTACTCAAATAGTTTACGTTTTTGATACTAAATTAACTTCTGAAGTATAATTTTTTATTGTTTTTATATTTTTCACTATATTTCTTTTGTTTGTACAAAATAAAAAAATAATTTTTAATGATACAATAGTCTTCGTTAGGCTTAACATTGACGAAAATTCAACGCAAAGTGACACGCAATGGAAAAAAATTTCAACATGGGATAGATTAATATATTTTTTTGTACATAATCGGTTATCTGAAATATCAATTTTCTGAACAACCCCAGTCCCCAATTGATTCGGATAAATGACGCTCTACTGTATATAACAACCATAAAAGTAAAACATATAAAAAGGATAAAAAAAGTAAAACCTGTTGTAGACTTATAATTCAGTTTTATATAACTTGAAAAAGATCCTAAAGAAAATATTGTCAGTATATAAAAATTCTCCATATACTGTCAATAACATAAGAGAGTAAATTATCTCATTAAAAACTATATTGATTAATAGTTATTATAAACTGGCAAGTCTAGATATTGAAAACATCTATATACTTCAATCACATGGTATATGATAAAAAACCTTGAAAAAAATAAAAATGGATGAATATTATTTAAACATGATATAACTAGCATATAAAAACAAAAATATTAATTATTTATTATGATGCCGGCTACAATTTTTAATCACATTTTAAGTTAAAAATTAATTGGGGTCTTTAACCACTAAGCTTTCCATATCCATATCTCAATTTTCATCTAAATAACTGTTCCTGAGATAAGGTAAAAAATTTGAATTGAAATCACTTGACTTCCAGTATAGAGTGGAAATTCATATTAAGTTAATCAGGGCCTCTGGCCCCTAAGCTTTCTATATCTGGTTTCAATTTTCATCTCTCAAACTTCATTCTTTAAATTAATGAAGGAAGGATGGACAAATTGATGAGAGTGGGAATTTATAAGTCTGTGATTTGAAAACTGTAGCCAAATACTTTAAAATGGGTGATAATTTCTTCATCAAATGGGATAGAATCAGCATGAGTACAAATTAGTTATGATAAATATTGTTAACTTAATTGCAACAGTTAAAGGAATCTGTTATTTAGGTAGTATGTTGACAATATTATAAATACATGAGAGTAGATATACAGAACTGAGCAAAATCATTGGAATAGCGAACAGTTTAAATACAAGGTTTAAATTTATTACAGCACCTAAAAAAATACAATTATAAGTTACTTAGATGTACAGATTAAACGAGCAATAAAAGAATTGGAATTCTTTGAATATAAGAAAACCTGTAATATAGACAAAAATATTAATTTACTATTTTACTATCAAGTCCCGATGTATTTATTTTGTAAGAATTTATTTTGTATGGAATATAAAAACATATAAAATAGAACTACGAAAAAAAAAATAAAAAAAAAAAAATGAAATCCAACAATTAAAGAGAGAGATGGCACTAAATGATTATCTGATAAAACTTGTACAAAAATGGGAACTCTAATGCCAAAAAAATTTACAAATAAATAAGTATATATTTCACAATGGTAATTAGAATGATGATAAAATAATATAATAATAACAAAATGTTTTTTGGCTTTCTATATGTAGTAGGCACTGTACATTTGAGAAAATAAAGCAGATTTTTCATAGTTATAATATTATATTAGCATCTATCAGACAAACAAGGAAAGGTGGAAGGATTCCTGAAAGCACTGCATACAATCCAGAAAGTCATATTTTGAATCATATAACTCCCAGTAATTGGTAATTGCTTTTGTTTTCCTATAATAAATTTTGTCTTATATATTTTTGAACAGTCCTTATAAATAAAAGATAAAAAAACTGATAAATATTCAAAATTAAATACCATTTTGATTTTTTCATAATTTTTTTTATTTTAAATATACATATATTATATTAATTTTGTTAAATTTTCATCTTACCTGTAATATAATTATAGCATTTTCTATTGATAACAAATCAGAAGGCAAACCTTCTGTTTTCCAAGTTAACTGTTCTTGTTCATTACTTAAAAATTGCTTTAAATCAAAACTCTTGTATCCTAAAATGGAACACCATTTTTCAATATTAATTTGTCTTATATCTTCTGAAGAGGATGATAAATATGTAATAAAAGCAGCAGCTAGTAATGACTGCACAGGAAGTTTTGTTAATTCCTTATCTATTTCTCCTAGCTAAAAATAAAGATAAAATATTATAATACCAAAAAAATTTATTTTAGTTTTATTTTATAAATGTAGAATGTTTTAAGTTTATAAATACAGTAACAAAATACAGTTGATATAGTAAACTTTCAAAGGGTTGAGCTAAATCATTCACCATATCAAGAATCCATTATATACATAAAGAACAGCAAGGACCAACAAAATTGTTCACTATATTGAAAATTTATATCAAGAGTCTATTGTATTTCATCATCAGTAATCTAATTGTTAAAGAATAGTTTTAAAACAATAATATTTTTCACTCTCATTTTACATGGCAGATTGTTCATATAAAATAAAAATTGTGTACATTGTGAGACTAACATTTATATGGGAAAAATAAAATCCAAGGTTCTACTTTTTATTAACCAATAAAAAATAAATGAAAATAAGATTTCATTCTATATCTTCTTCACTTGTTGATTAAAAAAAAACACAATTTTCTTTTCCTTTTTTGGTTGAAAATCTTGACATTTCCATTAGTAACTTACATATCAGATTTTATTTTATAATGGAAACAATAGTAACATTCAAATGATGGATCTTTAAAATAATGAAAATCAAAATTTTCTGTATTATATCCCACAGTATACTTGTATACTGTGGGATTGCGGCGATATACGATCCATAAATTATTGATGTTCGCAATATCCTTCATCATTTTTCTTAAGAAGGAATGATAGTTGATTACCACCATGCGTTGATTGTTAATTAATGGAGACTGATTAGTTTTAAACTGAAAAGTTGCGATGAGTTTTTTTATGAGATTCTTTTGGTAACCATTTTGTTGTGCTATTTGTGGTTACCAAAAGAATCTCATAAAAAAAACTCATTGCAACTTTTCAGTTTAAAACTAATCAGTCTCCATTAATTAACAATCAACGCATGGCGGTAATCAACTATCATCCCTTCTTAAGAAAAATGATGAAGGATATTGCGAACATCAATAATTTACGGATCGTATATCGCCGCAATCCCACAGTATACAAGTTACTGAGAAATGATAAAAAGAATGACAACCAGATCGCTACCTCCAGTATTTACTCCATACCAATCAAAGACCGTCGCTTTGATTCAGATAGTGTTTATATAGGTGCTACTTTGAGAAGCTTGGAACAAAGAATCAAAGAACATAAATACTCTATTAGAAAGAACAACGATAGCACCGTTTTAGCATCTTACACCAACCAGCAAGGAATTGAGGTCATATGGGACCAAGCTTCCATCATTAGACCCACGTCTAACAAGCACTCCATCAAACATCTCGAAAAATTGGAGATTTATAAAGCACGAGGGAAAACTACTTGTATCAATCATAGGGACGCCCACTCTCTATCCACAGCATGGAAATCATTCTATGAAGATAACCTGTAATTTTTACAAAACATTAATTTTTAATGAGAAACTGTTGAGCTCTTTATTTTTATTTATTTATTTATTTATTTACTTTTAGTCTTATATCCCTAACTTTTTGTATTCACTCCGTTAAGCGTTCATCATTACGCATGCGCAGTTATTATTTTTTCGTAAATTTGATTTTGTTCTATTTTTAATGTTCTTTTTAACTGATGATGATTGCTAAAGATGATCGAAAACGTTTTTATAATATTAAATTATTTGCTAGAATTTGTAAAAAGGTGATAATTTTGATTAATTCTTTCTAGTTCCAGTACAAGTTATTTTTATTGTTCACCTTAACTTTGGACCACTGTGAAAAACAGGGATGATGAACATTAATAAGTAATTCATGACAAAGTATAGTCCAAAACTAGGTATAACATGTTATACTCTAAAGTATCCTTAAAAAATTATTATTATATATTATAAAAATAAATGTGTTAAAAGGCTGCTTAGCATTGGCAAAAGTTATGATAAACTGAACTGTAGGTATGTTTACAAGATTAAAAATTAAATTTTAAAATTTATGAAAGTATAATAGAATAATAATTGTATAAGACAAAATATATTGAAATAACAGAACAATTATAAAGTAGTTAAAATATCTTTTATATCAGATTTCTATTTCTGTATAAAAAGTTATTTGACAATAACTATCAAAATTCAACAAATTCATTACTTGATATTACTAATACTCAGTAACTATTTTATTAAAATTTGTTAAATAGTTTTAACATCACACACATATTAGAATTTATTTTTAGATCATTATATTTAAAAATATATTTATTAACACTTACTTGTTTTGTCCAACGTTGATATTCACTATCTAGTTGCTGAACAAGTGTCTCAGCAGAAATGATTATTTCTTTAGAATGTTTCAAATTAAATTCTATTTCAGCTGCTTCCTTTGTAAATTTGCTTAATTTATCTCTCAAATGAATAACTTCTTGTTCCACATCTTCTAATGCACCACTTAATTTGTTAATGCGCCGCTCAGCTGAAACCAAGTTACTGAAAACAATTTTCAATTTGATAAAATGTATTCATAAAGCTATAATTTAAATGAATAATTAACAATACAAAAACAACGCATTTACTTCTTAAATAATAGGAACTATAGACTTTTAATATTTATATTTTATATATTCTTTTGGAAAAAAATTATTGTTCATTAGCAGTAACAATGAGAAAATATTTCAGATTACATTACTATATCATTTTTAAACTATAAATTTAATTATATGATATATTCAATGCTATGTGTGAACACATAACCAATACTTTTGTGTGATATATGATGAATCATGTAAAATGGTAGATTTATCCAAGAGGTTGACATGACTAATAATTGAAATATCCTTCTGGAGTGTAAAAACTGTTGGACACAAATTATTCTATTTGAAATAGATCATTAAACCCTCCAAAAAAAAGCAATTTCTTGAGTGATTTGAGTTAAAAATTTATTTGGAAAAAAGTTTTTAAGATATTATTGTTTCAGCTTTGGGTTATAACTATCTAGTCAGTAATGATTGATCATTTTGTGATTCATTAATATTTATTGTTCAATTGCTATTCATTCTCTTAATAGATCATTTAATGATAAGCATAAATTTTTCTGAAGAGAACGAATCATACTAGGAACACACCAGTAATTGACAATTTCAACTTTGGATTTTTTTAAGCCTAAAATTTTGGCTTTTTTAGTAACTTACATCACACAAGGAAAGGAACTCTTATTGATATAGACTTTATTACTGGATGTGGATATGCATTTGGGTCTTAATCATGGACGTAGCCAAGAAGGGGCATGGGTGGGCCTGGCCCCCCACTTAACCTGGTGCCCCTCCCCAGAAAAACACGATTCAAAATTATTAAATCCAATCAATCGATCAATTATATTTAAGTCACAACCAAGCAAGCATAAGGAGATACATTGAAAGCATAAACAAATAATTTAATAGTGAACTGCCATGCCATCTAGATTTGGTTACAGTTGTAAGATTGTAGCATTTATTAATTTGAAACAAAATAATTATTTGCCCATTTAACAAAATGAATAAATTTAAGAATATTAAGAATATTAGGATCAATTTTAAATAACAGTTTTCTACATCGTAACACTTAAGTATGTCAAGCAGTCCTGATGAGCATGTGCCAATCATACCAAAAAGCGCTAAAATGGCAGCACTGCTGCACACACACTCTTGCTCCATCTGACGGGTTCAAACCGTGGCACGCTCAGATGCGTGCGAACCTGAAGGAACCAGTTGACTTTATTCTATGTACAATGAATAAAGTTTCTGCTGTTTTTTTAGATAAATGATAAAAATTATTTATTAATACACTATACAATACAGGTGAGTTGAAGTTTCAAGTTTTGTGGTAAATTGTGTAAAGATTTTACACTATTTATTGAATTCTATAAGACGCAATGTAAGCACATACTTCCCATAGACCAAATTGACCTGCATTTCATTTTATTCTTTTGCTCAGAAATAGCAGTGATATCTTTCCCTTCCTGAAAAAGTTCAACAAAGAGAAACAGTATTTTCACTGAAAACACTTGGATAAAAAAATCTGTTGCAAACTGAAAGTAATAGGGAATTAGAAATTGACATATGCTTTATGTTCCATAAATGAATTTCTGCTCTAAACAAGTAAGTTAAAATTGTTAGTTTGCCCTTCAATCCAGAAGTGCCCATGAAGAAAAGTTACTTGAGGTCACTTCATTTAACGTCGTCAAATTTTACGACAGAAATCTTTAACGAATTCTTCAAATTATTATTATTATTATTATTATTATTTTACCTTGACCTGCACACCTGCACATCTGAAATTGAAAAATTCCAATTCATATTGAAAATAAGTATTAAGTTCCATTGCGTGTAAGATTGGTAGTGCCCACCAATGGCTCCAGTCTGGTGCCTGCCCAACATTTACTTCTTCATGCTTTGTTTTCTTTTGCACTTTTGACAATTACTTTATTATCTAGTAATAATATGTAAAGTTATTTCAATTGTATAATGGTTCAATAATTGATTCAATTTAATAACATATAAGCACTTATATTTTTTTCTAGCTATAAGATGTTAACATGAAAAAATTCAATGACAACAATGTTTTTTTAAAAATAATACTCCAAGGACATGCGAAGTAACACAGAAGTAGATGTGATAAGACCTTGTACTTCTTCCCCCGAATCATCAACAAATTCAATAAAAGAATCCTGTCTGAATGAAAATAGGTTGTTGAAGGTACAAATGATTTAGAAAACTCCTCTGTATGTTCACCACCACCAACATCAGTAATGTCACAGTCAGCTGACTCAGTTGTAGAAGTGGATGGTGACAGAGTCATCGTTATTGATTTCACAAGACCTCTTTCTAAAAGTTTGACAAACTGGATGAACTAGGCACCCTTCAAGTTGGACCATCACAACCTGTTATAGATTTCCCAAAAACTAAATTTGGAACAAAATTCAGATCGTTTTTGTCCAGATATTATGAACTATATAATAGCTGGTTGGAATACAGCAAAGAAGACAAAGTCTACTGTTTCGTATGAGGAAACTTCAACAAGGGCAGGGCAATATACAAGACCAAAATGAGAAATTTGTGAAAAGTGGTTTTAACAACTGGAAAAAATTAGCAGAAGCGTTAAAAAAAACACTCAGAATCATCACCTCATGCTGAATGCAGCCAAATGTACGTGTCTTATCTTCAATCTATTATAGTTGGAGATGTTCATCAACAATTTATGAAACATCAAGAGGAAGAACTTGTTCAAAACAGAAAATACTTGGTATAATTGATTAGTATTATTGATATAATACTGACCCTTGTTCGTCAGGGTTTGCCTTTGAGAGGGCACTGGGAAGATGCATTTTCTAAAAATAGAGGTAATTTCTTGAAAATTGCTCAACTTTTTTGTAAATACAACAACAAATTTTTACTCCACTTTGAAAAACACTACAACTACTGCAGCCCAGATATCCAGAATGAAATAATTGTAGTGATATTGAACCTCTGGAAGAAATTGTTGAAGAAGCTAAAGCATGTGGCTTTTTTTCTTTAAGTGTGGATGAGGCCAGATGCTTTAAAGAGGAACAATTGTCAATGACCGTAAGATATGCAAACAGTTTAGACATAGTCAAAAGATTTATAGGTTTTACAAATTGTTCCACCTCCAGAGATGTACAAGGACTGGCTACATTAATTTTGGACACATTAAATAAACACCATTTGGGTGATGTTCCAATTCTTGCACAGTCTTATGATGGTGCAAGTGTCATGTCTGGTAAAAATCGAGGCCTACAGGAGATTATCAAAGAAACTCATCCTCACCCAATTTACATCCATTGCTTAGCACACAAACTAAATCTTCTGGTTGTTGACTTATGCACAAATGTTTCACTAGCAAAGACATTTTTTAATGGCCTCGAAGCTTTGTATATTCACTTCGCACAACCTGGTCATCATGCGAGCCTGCAAAAATTACAAGGCACTCTCGGAATCCATACCAGCTGTGAAATGGGAAGTCTCAGTACTACCAGATGGAGTTGTCGCTACAAAAACTGCCAAGCAGTACTGACAAATTATAAGGCAATTAAATTGACTTTGGAAAAAGAGATCACTGAGAACCGTGACAAGCACACAGTGGAAGCACTTGGATTGCTAAATATTATTATGAAACCAGAATTTGTTGTTTCCTTACACACATTTCACTAAGTTCTGTGGCTACATGCCATAATTGTATAGTTATAGTTTATATTTTATTAAATATATTTCCCTTTGTCTTCATTTCTATTGTCTTTCTTTCTGGAAGTTTCTCCCTACTTTTGTTTAACGGTGTAACAGCAGGTGACCCCTGTGTAACAAAGGGGAAGGNTTATAATAGCCTTATGTTAACTTCTTTCATCTTTGAACTGTCTTCAGATTACATACAAAAATTAAATGTAGAAGTTTTACAATTTGAGACTTAGAAAGCTAAGGTTACTTTTTGGATGCTGGCAGTTGAATATTTAAAGTAAATGAACATCAGTTATGAACAGATTTAAAATGAATAAAATATAAAAGCTAAATTTATGATGAGAATGATAATAATTGACAAATAAATAAATAAATATTGATCTGTCTAAAATTTCAAATTATATTTTTTCTGTTGTCATGACAATTAACCAGACAATCTTAGTTTATGCATGGAATCTTAAGAAATCAAACATGCATAAAATAGAAAAGAAGAAACATCATCTGTTAAAAGAATGCAGCGGAATCTGAATTTTAATAATTTTTTATTGCTTTTCTTCTGTATGACGACCATGTTAAAGCTGAATATGATAAAACTGATTTTATTTTTAACTTTGACAGAGATCATTGTGTGCTAAGTAGATATTTCACCTTTGTAATAAAATGAATAATTTTGATTTGAATGTATTATTATTTCCCTTCATCATAATGTAGAAAATTTAAATGATAATGAATTAAGAAATGATATCAAAAGACAAATTATAAAATTATGGTAATCTAATAAATTTTCAACAAGAATAATAGCTCATAAATTTGATATCCATCATAAAATTGTTTCAAATTGGATACATCAGTGGCAAGAATGTGATTTATGATGCAGAAAGATCTAGAAGACTACAAGAATGTCTTGTAGTGAGTAAATTTTTTCAGACTCAAAATGCCACTCTTGGTCAGACTATGACCTCATAGCAAGTGCTATAGATACTTTCAAAGCATGCAGAAATCAGTTCAAAATTTGGACAGACATTGAGCAGTTTGCTGAAAAGCACGAGATTTCACTAGTATCTGTTAGAGTCTCAAAAAGAAGGCGTCAACAAAAAGAATTTTATACAAAGTCGATTGTGGGCAAAAGCAATACATTAGATTTTTCAGCCGATTCACAACCAGAAGAATACTGGAAGATCAACATTTACTACCAAGTGGTAGGTAATATCATAGTAAATCTGAAACACTGATTTCAAAATCTACTGTTAGCTCGTGTGATGGATGCATTTCTTAAATTGGACATGAAGAATGGAGACGATTTCATCAGTAATTATAAAAAATCTTAAGAATTGATACATCAGCCTTTGAAGCTGAAACAATGGTCATGAAAAACATGATTCAATTAAAAAATGTTGAGATGAATGCTGAAAGTTTGAGAAACCACATTAAAAAAGAGTACTGCCCTAATTTATATAAACTTTTTCAAGCAGCAATAGTACTCCCAGTGAGCTCCGCCAGCTGTGAGCGAAGTTTTTCTGCTATGAAGCAGATAAAAACGTGGCTTAGAAGCACAATGCTTCAAGAACAATTCTCTCACATGTCACTGCTCAACATAGAGAATGCCATTGTCAAGGAAAAAATTATAGCTGAAAAAGTGTTGAGCTGATTTGCAAAAAGAAATAGAAAGCTGAAACTAATTTAATTGGGTGTAGTGTACCCACTGAAAGTCTAGATCTAGATTAAAGACGGTGAACTACCGTATATTAAAGAATAGAAAAAAAAAAAAAAAAATAGATTAGTTAATTTTTGTTTAAGGCATTGCTACAGTTTGATATTAATGTTACGAGAACGTATGATTAAAGAAAGTTTCATATTATGTGTCGATTCCTAAGGAAATTTCATTTTAATGAACAATATTTTGAAATAATTCAATTTTGTGTCAGGCTGGCCTCTACTAGGCCCTCCATAACAAAACCCTGGCTATGCCCATGGTCTTAATTACCCTTCTTCAGTCCTTATATTTTATACAGATCTTATTAAAATAAATAATAGTTATAAATTATATCACATATGCATGTTTACAGAGAATATTTACAAAAAATTTTTCTACTTTAGCCATACAAATTGAAATTAAAAATTGGATAATTAACTGGATATATTATAAAAAATTTAAAAAAATGATGTATAAAATAAAATTAAAGTAGATAAATAAAAAAATAAAATTTCTTTAAAAAATATAATTTTTCCAAAAAATAATTTAAATTGGTCCTATCTGTAGATGGGTAAAATTATGAGTTGGTCTTTGTAAGTAGAAAAATTTTTTGTAAATATTCTCTGTAAAAATGCATGTGTGATGTAATTTATAACTATAATGGCGGTTTTTTTTTCAACCTCCAATGGTCCATAAAACAAAGACAAGTGTAAATAACAAAATGAATTTATTATCAAAAGTTAGGTACAAACACGGTTAGTTTTTGACATAATCACTGTAAAGATTGCGGCATTTCTCATATCTATAGACGAGCTTTGCAATTCCCTCTTCAAGAATATTGTTGCCTACATATTATTTATTTTAATAAGATCTGTATATAAAATAAGGACTGAAGAGAGGTCATTAAGACCCATAATGCATATCCACATCCAGTAATAAAATTTATATCAATAAAAGTTCCTTGTGTGATGCAAGTTACTAAAAAAAAGCCAAAATTTCAGGTTTAAAAACTACAGAAATTGCTAATGAAAATGATCAATTAAATTCCAACTTTATTACACCAGGAAATGTATTTCAGGCCTTCTGCCCCTATTCAGTCCTTTATTACTAATGTTTGACCATTTCTTCAATTATGTTAGTGACCAGTGGATGAATCAACTTTGTATTCATAAACTGATAAATAAAATAAAAATAAAAATTAAGTTAGCATAAAACTATTATAAAATATATATTTTTTCTTAATTTAAAAAATAAAAAAGAGGTTAAATATATCTGTATAAAAATGAAAGTAAATGTAATTTTTTTATAAAGAAATACATAAAATAAAATTAACATAAATTTGATAAAATTTCAAAAAAATTTTTAAAAACCAAATGTATGTAAATTTGTGTAAAAATATTTAATCAACATTTTAAAGTATTTACATTTATTTTTACACAAATTTACATACATTTTGGTTTTTAAAATTTTTTTTCAAATTTTATCAAGTTTATGTTAATTTTATTTTATGTATTTCTTTATAAAAAAAATTACATTTACTTTCATTTTTACACAGGTATATAATCTCTTTTTTTATTTTTTAAATTAAAAAATATTTTTATAATAGCCTTATGTTAACTTCTTTCATCTTTGAACTGTCTTCAGATTACATACAAAAATTAAATGTAGAAGTTTTACAATTTGAGACTTAGAAAGCTAAGGTTACTTTTTGGATGCTGGCAGTTGAATATTTAAAGTAAATGAACATCAGTTATGAACAGATTTAAAATGAATAAAATATAAAAGCTAAATTTATGATGAGAATGATAATAATTGACAAATAAATAAATAAATATTGATCTGTCTAAAATTTCAAATTATATTTTTTCTGTTGTCATGACAATTAACCAGACAATCTTAGTTTATGCATGGAATCTTAAGAAATCAAACATGCATAAAATAGAAAAGAAGAAACATCATCTGTTAAAAGAATGCAGCGGAATCTGAATTTTAATAATTTTTTATTGCTTTTCTTCTGTATGACGACCATGTTAAAGCTGAATATGATAAAACTGATTTTATTTTTAACTTTGACAGAGATCATTGTGTGCTAAGTAGATATTTCACCTTTGTAATAAAATGAATAATTTTGATTTGAATGTATTATTATTTCCCTTCATCATAATGTAGAAAATTTAAATGATAATGAATTAAGAAATGATATCAAAAGACAAATTATAAAATTATGGTAATCTAATAAATTTTCAACAAGAATAATAGCTCATAAATTTGATATCCATCATAAAATTGTTTCAAATTGGATACATCAGTGGCAAGAATGTGATTTATGATGCAGAAAGATCTAGAAGACTACAAGAATGTCTTTGACAAGTTAACCAATGCTAACTTGTCAAAGACATTCTTGTAATTGTTATTTGATTGTTCTAGTCTGGGTTATGCATTACATCAAATTTGATTCTGTGACATAATATGTTCAAATTCTTAATTTTTTAAAAACTATTTACTTTCAAATTAATAAATACAGTAGAGCGTCGATTTTCCGAATCAATTGGGGACTGGGGTTGTTTGTATAACTGATATTTCGGATAACCGATTTATGTACAAAAAAATAGTTTAACGTATCCAATGTTAAAATTTTTATCCGTTGTGTGTCGCTTCGCGTTGAATTTTTGTCGATGTTAGGCCTAACAAAGACTGTTGTATCGTTAAAAATTATTTTTTTTATTTTGTACAAACAAAATAAATATATTGAAAAATATAAAAACAATAAAAAATTATACTTCAGATGTTAATTTAGTATCAAAAACGTAAAATATTTGAGTAGCCCAAGACANGTAAAATATTTGAATAGCCCAAGACATAGCCAAAGATTGAAGCGCCACAGAACTGGTGAAAATTTAAATTTGCTGACTGGAATTCTTTTGGATGATTGACTTTCAGAAATTCGACGCTCTACTGTATGTTAGTCTGTAATAATTATTCATATAGTATTTGATATACAGTACATTTAACATTTAATATTAAAATTAAGTGACATTTTTACTTGTTGAAATAAAAAGAAACATCTTAATTAAATTGCTATGAATATTTATATTTAAAAATTCAAACTTACTGTTGTAATTTAGCCTGTTCTTTTTCTAATGGTGAAACTTTTTCTAAAACTTGACTGTATTTTACATTTGCTTTTACCCAAGAAGCCAAGGGAGCAGCAGCTGCAGAAGCTCTTTTAGCATTCTAAAAATAATAAAAATTTAAAATTATAACACCAATAAAATTTAATAGCAGAATAATGCAATATATAAATATATTGATTGAGGTTTGTAACAAACAATAAATATAAAACTGATTTTTATTTAGCAGAAAATCTGAAATTAAATAGTTTTAACTATTGCTGTCAATATAAAATCTATTAAAGTAATTGCTAAATCAGCAAGAACTTGAAATAGATCTTCAAACATTAATGATTCAAATTTTTTACCTAGCTGTTTCTTTTTTAATTTTTAATTATCTTTAAATACATAAATTTCCTGTATATTTATTTCCATTATCTGAAAATTAAAAATGCCAAATTTCATTATCTTTAGGTTGTGTATTATAGAAGTACTATACAACAGTAAAAAAAAATTCCTAGTTAACACATATATCCAAAAACTAGCAGATGAGCCTGGCATTGCTTGGGCAAAAAATAACAACAGTAAATATTAAGATTATCAGATTATTCTGTACTTCTAACCATTCTACTATATTATAATATAGTATTTAATTTACAAAGGTTATTTTACATAAGAGTTTATCACACTGAGTGCCCAATCAAACATATTAAAAAAATTTTAAAAATTATATACAGTAGAAGAATAAAGACTTTTTAAAACGTGTTAGATTGATCATTCAGTGTGATAAACTCTTATATAAGATAACCTTTATAGTTATATAGCTGACCTTACCCGTTTTCATCAGGTGCAAGAATTAGGACCTCTCCTCCGAGGCTAATTAGAAAATTTTTAGATGGATCTAAAAATACGTTGTTTTTTCCCACACTCTGATTGTCCATAAAACAAAGACAAGTATAAATAACAAAATGAATTTATTACCAAAAGTTAGGTACAAACATGGTTACTTTTTGACATAATCACCATGAAGATTGAGGCATTTGTCATATCTGTAGATGAGCTTTTCCATCCCCTTGCCATAGAATGTTGCTGCCAATGACTTGAGATGGGCCCTAATGTTTTGAAAATTGTCATTAGTCTCAAACCTCTGCCTCCTAGCCACTTTTTCTGTTCAGGAAAGAGGTGGAAGTCACTTGGCGCTAAATCGGGGCTATACGCTGGGTGTTTAAAGGTGGTGAAGACTTCCACCCAGCTTAAAACTTTTTAATGCGTGAAGACTTCCACCTCTTTCCTGAACTGAAAACATGGCTAGCAGGGCAGAGATTCGAGACTAATGACAATCTTCAAAACAATGTTGTTGAGGTCAATTCACTGGTAGCAACATTCTATGACAAGGGGATGAAAAAGCTCATTCACAGATAGATAAACAACTCAATCTTCATGATGATTATGTTGAAAAGTAACCATGTTTGTACCTAACTTTTGGTAATAAATTCATTTTGTTATTTACACTTGTCTTTGTTTTATGGACCATTGGAGTTTGAAACAATGGCATCTGTATATAAAACTTTGTACTACACTGATATCTATAAATAAACGCTGTGCGGGACGTTGGGGATGGGAATCATGAGATTCCCATCCCCAACTTCCCTTCCTCCCTTTACTCTTTCCCACCCCACCTTACTCTTTTCCCCTATTCCCATTCCCCTTTTCTTCTTATCTTCCTCCTGGCTAAGTCTACAGACAGCCTGCTTATCTCTATATAATGAAATGTCATAACAATTGACATATCTGAGCTTCTTCAGATCTTGAAATATGGTACTGTCCGATAACTTCAATACATCTGCTATCTCTCAAGAGTTGTCATTCAATAATGTTTTGTTCTGATCATTTTTCAATAATGGCCAATCTTCCTGAGAGTGGAGCATTTTTAAGGTTAAAATTACCTGCTTTAAATTTAGCAAAGTACTTTCAAACAGTTGATTCTGATACAACCAGGGCTGTGGAGTCGTGTAAAAATCTACCGATTCCGACTCCGACCAGGGGCAGACTTGTTACTGAAGTGACCCGGAAATTCTGATGTCATTACGTGACCTCAGAATAAAAGATTCAATAAATAGAGTTCTAATAAAGATAGAAAGTAGAAACTTTTTATTCCAAAGCAAAAAGACTCCTCTAAGTAATGACATGGTCAATATATAAATATGTATTGGATAATTTTTACTTTTCTGGCTGTTATATATAACAGAGGAAAAGTGTAGCACTCAGTTGAAAAATGTCCCCTCCCAAATTTTTACATTTTTGGACTCAGAACACCTTGAAATTTCGAGTTAATTAAGCAAAACATTCAAGGTTTTTTCTATATGTGTGGATGTTAGACTGTTTGTATGGAACATGGATTTTGTTCACCCTGTTTGAAGCCTAATAATTTCTGTGGTCAGAGTGGTCAGAATCGGAGTCAGATGGTTTAATACAGGAGTTAGTTATTAAGTGTTAAAGTGGTTGAACTAAATCATGTCCCCATACACATTCTAACGTCTTAAGCCCTGGTCACACTATGCAATTTCTAGCTGCACAGGTGACTGCAACTGCAACAAGCGCATCTTCTCGTGGTCCACACATTGTTCATTGATGTTGCAACTGGGAAACACATGACCCTATAATAAACCAATAAAATTACAGTAGCTTGTTTTTGACTACTTTCGTGAGTTTGCCAATATTTTACGTTCTACTTCAGAGTATTTATGGAATTTTAGCCACTTTTCTTATTAAAATAGCAAGCAGTCCCTTTTCTGGAATGAATAAAAGAAAAAAGGTGATTATTTTGATAGAGCTGGCGTGAATACATGAAAAGATAAAATCTTCGATAAAACAAAGAATTAAAATCCCACAGGTATTCGTGAGCCTGAATAAGCTCGATCAATCTCAATTCTGTAAAAGTATTAATCCTCTAACTATCCACCATGATGATGAACTATTTTCAATGTTGTCACTGTATGACATGGCACAAAGGCATTTGTTGATTGGATGCGCGTTTGCAATCATTGTGAGTAGAATAAACTTTTTGTTTCTAGTTGCAGTTGCGCCTGTTTTTGAGGGAGGATTACTAGTTAACGGGAACAGCTGTTGCGGTTGCAGTCGCCTGCACGGCTGGAAATCACATAGTGTGACCAGGGCTTTAGGCGAGAATATCTTAACAGGTTTTACTGTACTATCATAAAATGACAAAAAAGCTTACTTTGAGGGTAGAGACAAGTTTTATTTTTTTTAATTTTTTTTTTAATTTTTAACGCTAATAACATGTAAAATGTTCATTAAGAGATATGACACACGACCCCTTTTATGTCTTCACCTGTCCATCTTTAATTAAGAACAAAAATTTAATAGTATTAATGCCCTTTTATTCACAAGCTACAGTGCCACATTTCATTTCTTAAACTTTACCCATTCTGAGATATTGTTTAATTTTTCTGTTCTTCTGAGATATTGTTATCTCAAAACAGAAAATAAAGAAATTAAACAAATTAGATGCCAATACACATGCACGCGCTAATTTTTTCCCATTTTATTGACTTTTTTGGGGGTTCGAGAGGTCTCCAAACGTGTATATTTGCAAAAAACACTTGGTGGGATGAATTTGACACGATTCCAATACTTTTCTGTTTTATACGCATAACAAATTGGAAAGTAAAAAGGAGTCAGAGTCGGCAAATTTTTTGACGACTCTGACTCCGATTCCGGCTAAAACACCAAAACTCCACGACTCCACAGCCCTGGATACAACATACAGATAATAAACATCAGATATGGCATTTTTGCCATTTCAATAGAAGAAAAGAAACAAGCATTGAAAATGCTACTTGGTTGCTTCCATTTTTGTAACAAGACAAATTAAACATCTATTACATAAGATCCATTAAGATTATTTAAATAACCTTAATGGATTTTTTGTAATCAATTGTGTGAAACAATGAATATTATTAAAAATTGTAGAATTGTATAAATCAATACACTTTTTGTAATACAGTAATACCTCGACTTACGCTACCCCGACTTACACAAACTCGGAGTTACGCGATTTTCAAATCTCGTTGATTCGTCTTTTGTTTGAGTGCCACGCAACTCTTGATTACTCACTCCCCCCATACTATTGTACAGCTTACATGTTCGGACGTGTCGCGCGGAATCGACACATAGCTACAATTTATTTTGTGTTATTTATTTGTGTGTTTGTTATATCTACGGAGACTTGAGAGACTATGTGGTGATTTCTTGTAACCGTGAACGAATTAAAAGACGAGATAAGATTAACGAGAACATTTATTAGCTTACATACATCTGACTTGGATTTTACACAAATTGCGAAATTATACCCCGACTTACACGGTTATCGCTCGGTCCCATCTATCGCGTAAGTTCGGGGTATTACTGTATTCATTGATTCATACAATTCTAATAATTTTTATTTCATCCAGTGTCTCAACTGTTGGCTATAAAAATTGTTATGAATTTCCAAACAATTCAATATTTCATCATAATTCTTTTGCTCAAAACTTTTATGAGTTTATTTTAAATAGATTCATATATGTTTACAACCTACTGCTTCATGTTTATTCTATTATCTGAAAGATAATGACATACTACGCAATTCAAATACTTCCATAAAAGACAATTTGGTCATGGAGAAAGACTATTGGGAAATTCAATTATTGGAGAAATTGGATTAGTATGATGAAATTCCTTCTTGTGACTCCAATTTCTTACTTCCTAATTGCTGATTTTCAAATGAAATTTTTTATACGCCTGCTTTTTCTTCTTTCTTGAGCATATCTTTATCATTTTTGAGAATACTATATAAATTAGCTCTTTTGAAAACTATTTTGGAGTGTTTTTTTGTCCGATACTTGTTTCATGATGTTCCTGATGTTTTTATTATAAGTGAACTTGGCAATTTCAAACTGATTTGTTTGTGTTCTTATCTTTTTGCCTCCTTCATATTTTCTAATTAGTCCTTCTATTGTACTCCTTTTATATCCCAAGTTTGAAACCGTTTCTTCAATTCTATTAATTTCCTTCATCTTGTCTAGTACATTAGAACAATATGAATATGCTCTTTTAATGAGTGCGTGAAAAGCAGATAGTTTGTATCCGTATGGGTCATTTGAGTTAGCCGGAATGTAAATGGACTATGCTTTGGTTTTATGTAGATACCTGTTGTTATACCATCTCCTTTTAATTGGATATCTATATCTAAACAATGTATCCGTTCATAACTTTTCTGTTCTAGTTTCTGTTAAGTTTTAATTCATCATTGTTGCTATTGTTGATTACCTGTATGAACTCTTGTATTCTCTTGTTGTTTTTCCAAATAATGCACAGATTGTCCACATATCTTTTGTAAAATACAAAATCCATTCTGAACCCATTAATAATGTGCTTCTCTAAGTTGTGTAGGACTAGTTCACGTAATAATCCTGACATTTGATTTTCCATAGGTACTCCTTTCTTTTGTTTGTAGGCTTGTTTATTGAAACTGAAGAAGGACTCATAGCAAACCAATTGGGCTAATTCCACCATATTGTTCACAAATGCAGTAACTTCTGGTTTTATGTGAAGCATAAATTCCATTAATGCTTCATAGCAGGATTCTATTTTTATGGATGGGTATAGATTTTCAAAATCCATAACAGACCCAACTTCTTCATCAAGTAAATTTAGTTCCTGTAATTCTTTTACTACATTCATCAGGTTTTGTGCAACAAGAACATTGTTGCCTAGTTCATCTGAAATGAATCTATGTAAATGTTTTTCAAGAATGTATGTGGGTCCTCTTCATTTCTCAACCACAGGTTTGACCTCTTTGCCTTCTTTATGTATTTTTGCAAATGCAAATAATCTTGGCATCCATGACTTTGGGTTATGAGATCCTTTAAGAAAAGTTAATATGGAGCTTAATGGTGCTCTTTCAAGTTTTTTAACCCTTCTGTCTACATTTGTAACAATTTTTTCATTGACCTACTCACATTCCATTCTTTTAATGTAATCTTCTAAGGATTTGTTGTAATTTTGTCTTTTCATGATGACTAGGTGCTTTTGTCAGCTTGTGTTAGGACCAAATCATTGTCATTTAACAATTGTTTTGTGTGCTTCAGCTGATTCATTACAATGCTTTTTGTTCTGTGGGTATGGTCTTTAAGAACAGTCTTCCATCTGAAGAAATCACCTTCTAAATCATTGAATTCTGAGATTCCTCTTTCCAGTTCCGTAATTGAAATTTGCCATAAGTTTTCATCTTCAGGAACAAAGTTAGGCCCTTTTATAGAATTTCCTTAATTTTGGTTGGAATGTCTACTTGTTTCCATAAAACAAATGGTGATGGGTTTATGTTCTTTTCCTTTTTCTTTTCTTTTGATGCCTGTTTAGTCATGATCCATGTCATTCTTCTGATATATCTTTTCTTTAAACTTCTGTATACTCTGTTCGTCAATTTGACTACTCTCAATAATTTAAGTCTTCCTGGATCATTTATGTATATTTCATTTTCTAATGTAATGAGTTTTTGTAACATTCCTTACTTTCTATTTTTTGTCAATCTGATGGACTTATGTTGACAATCCTTTTTAATTTTTTCTTTCAATGAAGCACATTCCTTTGGAACACTGATTCTATAAATGGACATCAGATAGACATTGTTAAGCATACATTGCTTAAGAAATTTTAGTTTACAATTTGCCTTTACGCTCTTCAATGCCAATTTCCTATACTGCTTATAATTCTTGGCTGGTGCTGCCATATTACTAAACAAATATCATACTCAGCTCTTTAATATACTTAATGAATCATCAGGTGTTTGATTTTCATTAAGTATTTTAAATATATTTTATTATATTATTTATTTGTTAATTTGTCTAATATTTTTGTTTTAAATTTAAATGTAAAATATTCAAATGTTTCGTCGTTAAAATGTTAAATTTTTAAATACATTTGAATTCAGCTACATTTGAAGATGACCTATTCTATTAGGTTGAAAACGTTAGTGTTTGTTTAATAAACATTTCTCAGCATCAGGTGTTTTATGATTCATTAATTATTAATTTATTAATTCATTCAAACTAAATTTTCTAGAATACGTTTTATACTTTTTAAAACAAAGTTAATGAAAAATATATTATTCTTCAATTTTTAAGTACATTAATAATTAACTATTAAATTTTAATAAGTTTTTCATATTTATATTTTTATTACAACTTAAATAAAAGCACAGAAATTAAATAGTATAAATTTACCTTAGGATCAAAAGATTCATGATTCTTTGAAAGCAGTTGGTCAACACTATATCTTATTTCAGGAGTTATTTTGCGGGCATCAAAAGAAATAATTTCTTCTTTTACACCTCTTTTAGAAAGAAAACTAAAAGGAAAAGAAAAATTATTACTACTTAGGTGTAAATAGGATCTAACATCTGTTACTCAAAAGAATCTCTCCATTAACTTCATTTCTGCTCTCGTCAGGAATTCTGAGAACTCAGGGGTCACAAAGAGAAAAGACTGTCTTGATCTGGGGGTACAGGAGACTAGACATAGTGTTGACTGGATGTAAAATTCATCTGCTCTTGCGGTTTAGTTCTATTATTGTACTAATCACCTTTGATTATATTAGAATTTGGTGCAGTCAACAGGATTTTATTACACAGCTGTATTTAAATAGTCTTGAAGATAAAACCATACTTTTCAAATTTTTGGTTCAAAAGATTGAAGATTATATCCCGATGGAAGGGGAGAAAGAATGGATGGAAGTCTACCAAGATTTTCAAGGGATCTAAAATCATCCTGCCATTTTGTCCAAGTCAGTGTTTCATACTGCTATCAGGATGATGAGTAATTATCAAACACTGCCTGTTTTATTATTAGAGAGAGAAGGTGATTCCTATCTTAATAAAACTTTGATACAAATGGCCACCTTGGACAGTTCATCCGATTCAAAGTCAAATGTGTTAGCACAAATGGTTCAGTTGCAAAAGCTATACAATAACTAACAAGCCGAAACTTTGAAGATCATGAATTCTTTTCAGCAAACCATTGAAAAAATCTCACTAAACACTTCTCACAGTATGATTGACATAGAATAATATATTGGTAAATCGAAGGAAGTGCATACTTGGATAACTTCTTATGAACTGTAAATCTCACAATTGGGTTACCAACAAACAAAAGATTCGTAATCTCCAAAATTATTTGGAAGGAATTGCCATGAAATAGTACAATTCCCAAGTATTAGATAGGTCAGTGATATCTGGGAGGAATGGAAAAACTCCTTTTTTAGTGCATTCGAACCCTTATTAGTGGATATGTAGGAAGATCATGGTGGTCCACTATTAGAATGTTATTTTGAAAAATAACAGAATATCCAACTTGCATATCCAGAGATTGGGGAACAGAGCTTTATAACCATGGTAATGTGGGAACTACCAGCAGATATGCAAGCTATTCTTCTGCAGCAAAAATTAAATAACAAAGAGGAATTACCAAAATTGGTAAGGACCAATTTTGGTAATTCCTCTTTGTTATTTAATTTTTGCTGCAGAAGAATAGCTTGCATATCTGCTGGTAGTTCCCACATTACCATGGTTATAAAGCTCTGAAGAAAATTGAAAGAAGAGATAAAAACATTCATGGTAACCAAAGTAACACCTCCATCAATGAAATTGATGATGGTTCCTCTTTTGTTAGTAACTATTTGGATGAGAAACTGAAAAATAGGGAAGATTCATAAAACAAGTAAGGGAGGATTTACCAATCCCTCTGACAAAATTAGACCATTGCTTAGTCATGGTTCCTAATGATCCCTGAATTTTCCCAATGGAAGTGAATCAAGTGCATTGCTCAGTTTTTTTTAGATCCTGGATCCATGGTCAATCTCATTAGTCCTAGATTTGTAGATAAATGAAAACTAAAATCCAACCAAATACAGTTTTAAAAAACATTTAATGGAGCAATTATTGTATATAAAGAAGATGTTTTGGCCCCTGTAAAGTTTAGAGATCATACCCAAAACATAGAAACAATTATTGTAAAGGAAATGGGCTATGATCTCTTGCTAGGAATTACACATTACAAAAACTTAATATCTACTGGAAGTTTAGTAAGCAGGAAGTATTATTAGTTAAAACAGACAGAGTTACATTGCAAAAAGAAGACATTTTGCAGCATTTTCTGAGCATCGATCAACCTGATTATACCAAAACCAATTACAAAGTTTACTGTCAACTTCAATATAATGCACATTATGAAGCAATATCATGATGATCCAGACAGAGGGGTGATAATGGATTTTGGAGAACCTATTACCAGTGCCGGCCCGAGGCAAGTTTTAGGATGGAGCGAGATCCTATTATGGCGCCCCTCTTGGTTGCCCTAATTTATACCCTTTAATTTTCTTTACCACTGAGGCGTCCCCTAGGACTTAGCGCCTGGAGCGGCTGCTCCGTTCGTCCTATGGTAGGGCCGGCTCTGCCTATTACAAATTAAGAGCATGAGTCTGGTGGCCTAACATGAGACAAAGTAGCCAATGTTACATGTGATTAAATGTAAACTCTATTGGTTGTCTCTTCACCAATATCAGTGGCTAAGGGCCAAAATGAAAGACCTGTTAGCCCAAGGCATAATAGAAGAAACAACATCTCTTTACACTTCCCCTTGTGTTGTTATTCCCAAGGAGAATGGCAATTATCAATCATATGAAAATCAACAAAGTTACTGAATTGAATCCCTATCCCTTTCCTTTAATATATGATATAAATGGATTTGGTGGATGTAAATACTTTATGAAAAGATGGATTTTGGCAGACTGGAATTAGTGAGGCGACTAGAAAGTATACAGTTTTAGTAATTCCATTTGGATATTATCAGTACACTCATTTGTTTCAAGGTTGGAAAAATTCACCAGCATTATTCCAAAAAGTTATGAATAAGGTACTGGAGGGTCTCTTATAAAATGAAAAAGTCCAAAATTATATTGATGATAAAAGCACAGGGGTTGACAATAAAATAAGTAATAGGGAGCTCACTTTTTAAATACTAGAGAGGTTATACAATGCAAACTTTATTATAAACCTAATAATTCAGAATTTAATGTAAACAAAATCAAATTCTTGGGAAGAGTTATAGATGATTTTAGCAAAACTACAGCAATAGAGTCAACAGAAAATGTTTGTAATATTCCATGACCCCATGATCATCACTTGATAAGATTTTTCACAGGACTGACTGGACATTTCCATTCATTTATACCAAATTATGCTGAGATTATTCATCCTTTAAATCAATTTAAACAGAAGGATGTTTCCTTTGAGTAGACAAAAGAATGTGAGCAAGCATATTAAGAATTAGTTCAAAGAATTACATTGAATCCCATATTATAAATGTCTGATTGGAGGCTGAGCTTCAAGCATTGTAATGATGCATCCCATTATGGCAGCAGCTCTATATTATATCAGCAGGACTCCAATAAGATCTATGGAAAACAAGTAAGAGTTCTAGGATACCAATTATATACTTTTACATCAGCAGGGGTTAATTACAGCACAACTGAAAAGTAATGCTTAGCTGTGATAAAGGCAATTAAATATTTTCATTTCCTGGAGGGAAGGAAATTCACTTTGCATACTGATTATCAAGCACTTACCTTTTTCATGGCTTTAAAAGAATCAAAAGGGAGGTTAGGTTGATGGTAAGTCCTTCTACAAACATAAAAATTAACCATTGCACTGAAAGGAATTAACAGATACAGATGTCTCTCCAGATTATGTCCCTGTCTAAAGCCTATGCCAGTCCTCCAAATCAAAAAACACAAGTGGCAGAAAACCCATAACAGCCAGTTCATTGTCCTGAAAGATACCCAAAACACCATTATGAAGCAATATCATGATGATCTGGACAGTGGGATGGTAATGGTTTTGGAGGACCTATTACAAATTAAGAGCATGGGTCTGGTGGCCTAACATGAGACAAAGTGTCTGTTACATTTAGACCTATCTGATAAGTCAGTCTGTCAAATTTAAATACAGTCTCCATCATGACCAACTCTATTTGCTCCACAATCAAAAATACCCTTCAAAACAGTACACATTAATCTTCCAGAGCTCATCACCTTACCATGCTGCTGGGAACAGATTGTGTGAGAAAAAGATATAGGATCTCAAGAAATTACTTAATTGCTATTCAGACTTCAAAGGCAGATGGAAAAGTTGTTTGGATGCTGCAGTCTGCTACAAAACTTGTAGTTACAATTCTTATTTAGGTTGCTCGCTTTATTTAAATGGCAACATAAGCTGGCAGCTGACAGCAAATTTGGTATCAAAGATCTAAATCCATACGAAAAGGAGCGTACCGAAAAACAACAAAGAAAATATGAAGATCCCATCAAAGAAATATTATGATAGGAATCATGCAGGACTTCTGGTAAACATTAAAGTTAGATCTGGATTTTAGTTCAAAGTGGCATGAGGGATAAATATCCAAACATTAAAGGACCTTATCAGATTGATAAAGTAATATGCTACAACAATATGCCTAAAAATGTGACATATAGAATGGAAAATGGAACTAAGAGGATAGCTCACCTCACCAATGTAAAGTTTGTATCATCACAGGGCTAAGAAGAGGGGTGTAAGTAGGGTCTAACATCTGTTACTCAAAAGAACCTCTCCATTAACTTCATTTCTGCTCTTGTCAGGAATTCTGAGAACTCAGGGGTCACAAAGAAGAACAAATGTCTTGGTCTGAGGGTAGAAAAGAGAAAGGTTCTCACCTTTCACCCTATACATGGTGTTAACCAGACGTAAAATTCATCTGCTCTTGTGGCTTAAGGTTATTAGTACAATAATAAAACTAGGTTATATTACATTAGGAAATTTATATATATATGTGTGTGTGTGTGTGTGTGTGTGTTATAAAATAATTGAGTATAACTAAAAAAACTTTTGATTATATTTCAATTCTACAGATGCCATGCTTTAGACAATTGCTTAGAAGTATTAGTTATCAAAAGCATGAAAAATGACTTAAAACATGTTTATTATTTCCATATTTATTTCTGCATATTTCCATATTTAACAGAGGAATAATAAATCCTCTGTTATAGTCAATATTTCAAAAATCTGTGTTACATTTAAAATCAATGAATGAATAAAATTTTGCTAATTTGATAAGTTTTGAAGAACAAATGGATTAAAGACATTAAATTATATTATATTAATAATTTTTAAAATTAAAAAATCATAGAAAATTTTTTATTAAATATCTATTTTACAGTACTTTTTGGTTTCCATACCTTTTCATGCTTACCCATGATGTATCAAAAATACCCATTAATCGCAGAACACCTTCTAAAATATCTCTAATGATATCTGGTGGAGCTCTTAAAGATCTTATTTCTGACAATGCTTCTGATCGTATATTCCCTACAGCAGCTTTAGCTTTAAAAATACAATAAATTTAAAATTTATTACTCTAATGTTTACATCATGTTATATTATAGTAAATTAACTCTATGAATATAAGAAAACATAAATAAATGGGATAAAAAAATTTCTTAGTATGGATTATTATTACTATATTAGATTGTTTATTAGTTATTTCAAAATATAAAGTTTTTTTATTTAATAATAATTTTAATTAAAAGTATTACAATCCAAAAATAAATAATTTTATATAGAATCATTTATTCTTAGGAGTAAACCAATTAATTAATTAATTAAATGGTTTTTATAAAAGATGTAACTTTAGATATAACTTATATATGCTCATTGGAAATTTAAGAAATGAACTAAGTTATCATTTTATTATCTTATCTGTATTAAATGCTAATTTCAGGTAGCCAACTATTTAAATTTACCATGAAAGAACATTTTCATCCTGTTTTAGGACAACTTCAGCTTTTTAATAAATATAAATCACTGTTAAAACCAAATTTGAACTTTTATACCAGTTTTGACAGATCAAGCAATATTTAAAATGATTGTTTTAAATATTAAAAAAAAATAGTTTTGAATTTCAAGTTAAATATATTTTTTCAGTAAATAAAACTCTTCTTACTAATTTAAATAATTGTTATGTTTATTGAAATTTTGGAAGATGTTAAAAACAATTTATCTTGAATATTCATTTATTTTGTCACATATTTTAATTTGTATTTGAGTAAGCAAATGAAATTATTTAGCATATTTACAAATGTGATATTGAAATAAAATAAGCCTCAATTATTCAAAAAATCTCTATTTCTAATGATTATGCCTATTGCTATAATTTCTCCATAATGTGAGAATCTGGTGTTGAGAGTTTAATTTTAGTTATTTTGTTTAAATATTTATTTAAAATTATTTTGATAAAAAATAATCTACCTAAAAATTAAAAAGGAACTTCCTTTCCAACTGGAGAAAAGCAATTTAGATTCCAAAAAGTGATAGTATGTGTGAGATGTCTTACACTCCATCCACAAGACTGATGGACTTCCATCATGCATTGGAAGCATGGAGGACTTATTTTCAATAATCTAATTACATGGAATCTTTGTATAAAAAGTGAGCGGTCACCTTCAAATGCACTTTTTACCAACACTTTCACTCTTGTCCTTCTCCCCAGTTCTCTACTCATGTAAGATTTGCACTTCTAATTCTCCGGCTTTCACTCGTTCTCCCACTGAGACAAGACAAGATAGAAAAAGAAATGATTTGGCCTCACCCCACGAATTTTCAAGGCTCAAAAGTCAAGTAAATGTATTACAAGTAAAATGAATTAATTATAAACACTCTCTCTCAGAAGAAATTGTTATAAAGAATTGTTGTTCATCTTATTTCCTTTTAAAATCATTTATGTTTAGAGGTTTATTTCTTTGATATATTTTTGTATAATTAACATAGTCATATTTGTATAATAGTTTTGTCCAGCCCTTATTAATAAATTTATCTTTAATTATTACTGTTAGATTTCATCAGTGCCTAACTCCATCGTCAGCCCACGATTCCCACATATCCCACATTATCAATGATTTAACTTAAACTTAAATTTTTTAGGAGGGTTTAAGTTAATCATCAATAACATGCTAAAAATAATTCCGGTTAATTTTTAACATACTTTCCCCCCCAGCAAAGTCAAAATCATGAGTTAAGACATGGCTAAATTTATCTTAGCTGGAGTCAGTCAGGACTCTTAGAGCCGCCGCAAACTAGCGCTTTGCGAGAGCAAAACGCTAGCAAACATGCGCTAGCACAACCGATGACGTCGAAGGCTCCGCCCCTTTCTTCTTGCTCGCGCTGTTTTTCCTTCGCTAGCGCAGCGATACGAGAGTACGCTCGCTGTTCACAGAATTCAACAACTAGAGCATTTACGCTAGCAAGAGAGAGCGGGGAAGACGGATGACTACATGAACATGTCACATATCGAAAAAGAAATAATAGAATTTTATCAATGTACGTAAATTACATGATTAATACATTCAGTATTGAAAAGAAAATACTACAGTAGAACCTCGATTATCCGCCCCCGATCAACCGANTTATTGCCATTTTATTTCCTTTACAATATTCATTTAATATCCTACTTTTTAATTATTTTTAATTCAGAAAACTTTCACGAATTATCACCAAAACGAAAGATAATTTAATATATATGCGATTTGACCTATTTATTTAAATAATAATTTTATTACTACCTATTATTAGATACTAATAAAATAAAATACAGAAATTTTAATTAACCCAAAAAGATCTTTTAGAGTATCAAAACAGCTCCGATTAAAACCAGAATAAATTCCAAAAAGAAAACAAAACTAAAATGGTCTATATTTGCCTTATATCCTAGTATAAGAGCATGCTCTTATAGATGGGCAACATCGTATCTTACAAAACCTTATTATTAAAAAAAACTTTTACAATATTTAACATTTTATATTGGTTATTATCAAATCTTTAATTATGGTTACCAAAGTGATGTCTCCAAATAGTTACTATATCAGTATGTTTACATTTAATTACATTGACACAGTAATGCAGTGTTCTTATAAGCCAAAATAAGATGGCACAAATAAGAGCATGCTCTTATAAGTAAAGCAGGACATGTGTTTCAAAAACCTGAAAACAAACAATTTTTACATTTAAGAGCCTGCTCTTATTTGAGTAGAGATACATTATGTATACATACATAAAAATTATTTTGTATCTTAAAATTTTATCTTTCATAATTAACTTTTAATAAAATTTTATAATTAAATTTTTATTTACTTTTGTTATATTTTATTGTAAATTTGTCATGTTTTTGTTACTTTAATAGAATTGTTGTTACTTATACATAAGGAATATGCATAAAGTATATAAATTATTTAATATATTTTTAAAATGAAAAAACAAATATATGTATACAATTTGATGAGTTTTAAATATATAAATAAAGAAATTCAGTTTTATAAAGACTGGTTTGTTCTGCCCTTAAATATATGGAAGATAAATAAAATAGCATTTACTTACTGACATACTAGAAGTAATTTGTTTCAATGCATCATCAGCTTCAGCTTGCTTCTCAGCTAACAGTTTACTTTGTTCAGCTGCTTTAGATTTTAAATTATCAACAAGTAATCTAGCTTCATTTAATTTAGAAACACCAGCCTATAAATAAAATTATTTTACTACTACTTTCATACTGAATATTATATAATAAAAATGTATTTAAATTTAAAACAAAATAGTCTATCTAAATTTAAACTATTAAAACTATTTACAGTAAAGTGATATTTTAAACATTATTAAATTTGGATTTGGACATAAAAATCTGGCACACAAACTGGAAATATATACTAAAACAAACCAATTCACACCTAAATGCTAATTTCAGCAAATGAACAACAAAAAAACTTTAATGTTCAAACGTTTTCAGCTGTCTTTCAGAGGACCTCATCAGGAAAAATGCAGAAAATAGAAAAAACAGTTCTATCTTTTGAACAGTTTTCGAACATAGCTGTGTTCTAATGTTGAACATTTAAACAATGTTGAATACAAAGATCATTATGTATTACAACATATAAATAAATTATTTTATAAATAAAGTTATAAATAAATAAATACAATAATAATATACTATATGGTGTTAATATATAAAATAATAAATATATATGGTGGTAATATATAATATATGGTAAAAGTTAACCCAATGTCTTAATGTATAAACTATGTGCGATACAGAAAAATTGTTTCTTTTACATCGCCTAAAGCTAACTTCATAATAAAAAATCATAGTTATGTTTTGTGACATTGTAAATAATACTTCCATGATTGTGGAACTGGAATATAGTCGGAGTTAATGCAATCTCTCTTCATGCTACTGAATCTGGAATTTCTCCTAGTTGGGATGAACCTACACAAGGCTTTTGACCGACACAACTTATGTTCATTGAAGGCTCTTGAAATTTATATAGCAGGCATGAAGGGAGATTGCATTAACTCTGACTATATTTCAGTTCCACAATCATGAAGTATTATTTACAATGCCACAAAGCATAACTATGATTTTTTATTATGAAGTTAGCTTTAGGCGATGTAAAAGAAACAATTTTTCTGTATTGCACATAGTTTATACATTAAAACATCGGGCTAAATTTTACCATATATTATATTATTACCACCATATATATTATTTTATATATTAACACCATATAGTATATTATTATTGTATTTATTTATTTATAACTTTATTTATAAAATAATTTATTTATATGTTATAATACGTAATGATCTTTGTATTCAACATCGTTTAAATGTTCAAAATTAGAACACAGCTATGTTCGAAAACTGTTCAAAAGATAGAACTGTTTTTTCTATTTTCTGCATTTTTCCTGACAAGGTCCTCTGAAAGACGACCAAAAACGTTTGAACATTAAAGTTTTTTTGTTGTTCATTTGCTGGAATTAGCATTTAGGTGTGAATTGATTTGTTTTAAATTTGGATTTTTTCTAAATACATAATAAAATTAAGTGGCAAAAAATTAAAAACCACTTCATTAATCTTTAGAAATCATTAAAAACAATATACTATTTATGTATCAAATATAAAAAGTATTAGCAATAGCGTAGCGAGGAAGCAAGGGGGGTCTATCATGCCCTGGGCACCACTTGCAGAGGGGTGCCAAATGGTCTCTAAGACAAACAAGATTTGTTTCTGGAGGGGGGCACCAATAAAGTGTCATGCCCCATCTGCCAGTTATGTTTGCTATGCCACTGAGTATTAGTATAGTATTTTTTTATGTTTATAAAAAATTACATATTCCGTTCTTAGCAATGATTAAATGCAAACAAAAAATTATTTAAAATATAAAAAAATGTTTATTAAAAATTTACAGAATAAAATATATCATATAATGACTGTTGTGTTTTAAATAATTAAAGTGAAAATAGAAATATACAGAATAAAATGCTATATTTCAGGAGCAAAAAACCAATGTATTACTATTTGATCATTGGAATTATTAATATATAAATAATAATAATACCGATTTTTTATATAGAGGAGAAGGTGGTATTATGGAACCCCAATTACATTTTAGTGAATTGTAAACAAGGTATCATAACTACACCCACATTTTTTGTGCGAAAAGTACTGGTAACTAGTAAACTAAATGTTCCTAATTGGATTTTTCGCTAGTGTAATTATAAGTATGGTTTTTGAAGGCTTTTGTACAAAAAGTCCGAAAGTAGGCTTAGAGAAAATCGGGTGGTAATATGGAACCTTACTGTATATNAATGCTAATTTCAGCAAATGAACAACAAAAAAACTTTAATGTTCAAACGTTTTCAGCTGTCTTTCAGAGGACCTCATCAGGAAAAATGCAGAAAATAGAAAAAACAGTTCTATCTTTTGAACAGTTTTCGAACATAGCTGTGTTCTAATGTTGAACATTTAAACAATGTTGAATACAAAGATCATTATGTATTACAACATATAAATAAATTATTTTATAAATAAAGTTATAAATAAATAAATACAATAATAATATACTATATGGTGTTAATATATAAAATAATAAATATATATGGTGGTAATATATAATATATGGTAAAAGTTAACCCAATGTCTTAATGTATAAACTATGTGCGATACAGAAAAATTGTTTCTTTTACATCGCCTAAAGCTAACTTCATAATAAAAAATCATAGTTATGTTTTGTGACATTGTAAATAATACTTCCATGATTGTGGAACTGGAATATAGTCGGAGTTAATGCAATCTCTCTTCATGCTACTGAATCTGGAATTTCTCCTAGTTGGGATGAACCTACACAAGGCTTTTGACCGACACAACTTATGTTCATTGAAGGCTCTTGAAATTTATATAGCAGGCATGAAGGGAGATTGCATTAACTCTGACTATATTTCAGTTCCACAATCATGAAGTATTATTTACAATGCCACAAAGCATAACTATGATTTTTTATTATGAAGTTAGCTTTAGGCGATGTAAAAGAAACAATTTTTCTGTATTGCACATAGTTTATACATTAAAACATCGGGCTAAATTTTACCATATATTATATTATTACCACCATATATATTATTTTATATATTAACACCATATAGTATATTATTATTGTATTTATTTATTTATAACTTTATTTATAAAATAATTTATTTATATGTTATAATACGTAATGATCTTTGTATTCAACATCGTTTAAATGTTCAAAATTAGAACACAGCTATGTTCGAAAACTGTTCAAAAGATAGAACTGTTTTTTCTATTTTCTGCATTTTTCCTGACAAGGTCCTCTGAAAGACGACCAAAAACGTTTGAACATTAAAGTTTTTTTGTTGTTCATTTGCTGGAATTAGCATTTAGGTGTGAATTGATTTGTTTTAAATTTGGATTTTTTCTAAATACATAATAAAATTAAGTGGCAAAAAATTAAAAACCACTTCATTAATCTTTAGAAATCATTAAAAACAATATACTATTTATGTATCAAATATAAAAAGTATTAGCAATAGCGTAGCGAGGAAGCAAGGGGGGTCTATCATGCCCTGGGCACCACTTGCAGAGGGGTGCCAAATGGTCTCTAAGACAAACAAGATTTGTTTCTGGAGGGGGGCACCAATAAAGTGTCATGCCCCATCTGCCAGTTATGTTTGCTATGCCACTGAGTATTAGTATAGTATTTTTTTATGTTTATAAAAAATTACATATTCCGTTCTTAGCAATGATTAAATGCAAACAAAAAATTATTTAAAATATAAAAAAATGTTTATTAAAAATTTACAGAATAAAATATATCATATAATGACTGTTGTGTTTTAAATAATTAAAGTGAAAATAGAAATATACAGAATAAAATGCTATATTTCAGGAGCAAAAAACCAATGTATTACTATTTGATCATTGGAATTATTAATATATAAATAATAATAATACCGATTTTTTATATAGAGGAGAAGGTGGTATTATGGAACCCCAATTACATTTTAGTGAATTGTAAACAAGGTATCATAACTACACCCACATTTTTTGTGCGAAAAGTACTGGTAACTAGTAAACTAAATGTTCCTAATTGGATTTTTCGCTAGTGTAATTATAAGTATGGTTTTTGAAGGCTTTTGTACAAAAAGTCCGAAAGTAGGCTTAGAGAAAATCGGGTGGTAATATGGAACCTTACTGTATATTTTCANTATAAATTATTTAATATATTTTTAAAATGAAAAAACAAATATATGTATACAATTTGATGAGTTTTAAATATATAAATAAAGAAATTCAGTTTTATAAAGACTGGTTTGTTCTGCCCTTAAATATATGGAAGATAAATAAAATAGCATTTACTTACTGACATACTAGAAGTAATTTGTTTCAATGCATCATCAGCTTCAGCTTGCTTCTCAGCTAACAGTTTACTTTGTTCAGCTGCTTTAGATTTTAAATTATCAACAAGTAATCTAGCTTCATTTAATTTAGAAACACCAGCCTATAAATAAAATTATTTTACTACTACTTTCATACTGAATATTATATAATAAAAATGTATTTAAATTTAAAACAAAATAGTCTATCTAAATTTAAACTATTAAAACTATTTACAGTAAAGTGATATTTTAAACATTATTAAATTTGGATTTGGACATAAAAATCTGGCACACAAACTGGAAATATATACTAAAACAAACCAATTCACACCTAAATGCTAATTTCAGCAAATGAACAACAAAAAAACTTTAATGTTCAAACGTTTTCAGCTGTCTTTCAGAGGACCTCATCAGGAAAAATGCAGAAAATAGAAAAAACAGTTCTATCTTTTGAACAGTTTTCGAACATAGCTGTGTTCTAATGTTGAACATTTAAACAATGTTGAATACAAAGATCATTATGTATTACAACATATAAATAAATTATTTTATAAATAAAGTTATAAATAAATAAATACAATAATAATATACTATATGGTGTTAATATATAAAATAATAAATATATATGGTGGTAATATATAATATATGGTAAAAGTTAACCCAATGTCTTAATGTATAAACTATGTGCGATACAGAAAAATTGTTTCTTTTACATCGCCTAAAGCTAACTTCATAATAAAAAATCATAGTTATGTTTTGTGACATTGTAAATAATACTTCCATGATTGTGGAACTGGAATATAGTCGGAGTTAATGCAATCTCTCTTCATGCTACTGAATCTGGAATTTCTCCTAGTTGGGATGAACCTACACAAGGCTTTTGACCGACACAACTTATGTTCATTGAAGGCTCTTGAAATTTATATAGCAGGCATGAAGGGAGATTGCATTAACTCTGACTATATTTCAGTTCCACAATCATGAAGTATTATTTACAATGCCACAAAGCATAACTATGATTTTTTATTATGAAGTTAGCTTTAGGCGATGTAAAAGAAACAATTTTTCTGTATTGCACATAGTTTATACATTAAAACATCGGGCTAAATTTTACCATATATTATATTATTACCACCATATATATTATTTTATATATTAACACCATATAGTATATTATTATTGTATTTATTTATTTATAACTTTATTTATAAAATAATTTATTTATATGTTATAATACGTAATGATCTTTGTATTCAACATCGTTTAAATGTTCAAAATTAGAACACAGCTATGTTCGAAAACTGTTCAAAAGATAGAACTGTTTTTTCTATTTTCTGCATTTTTCCTGACAAGGTCCTCTGAAAGACGACCAAAAACGTTTGAACATTAAAGTTTTTTTGTTGTTCATTTGCTGGAATTAGCATTTAGGTGTGAATTGATTTGTTTTAAATTTGGATTTTTTCTAAATACATAATAAAATTAAGTGGCAAAAAATTAAAAACCACTTCATTAATCTTTAGAAATCATTAAAAACAATATACTATTTATGTATCAAATATAAAAAGTATTAGCAATAGCGTAGCGAGGAAGCAAGGGGGGTCTATCATGCCCTGGGCACCACTTGCAGAGGGGTGCCAAATGGTCTCTAAGACAAACAAGATTTGTTTCTGGAGGGGGGCACCAATAAAGTGTCATGCCCCATCTGCCAGTTATGTTTGCTATGCCACTGAGTATTAGTATAGTATTTTTTTATGTTTATAAAAAATTACATATTCCGTTCTTAGCAATGATTAAATGCAAACAAAAAATTATTTAAAATATAAAAAAATGTTTATTAAAAATTTACAGAATAAAATATATCATATAATGACTGTTGTGTTTTAAATAATTAAAGTGAAAATAGAAATATACAGAATAAAATGCTATATTTCAGGAGCAAAAAACCAATGTATTACTATTTGATCATTGGAATTATTAATATATAAATAATAATAATACCGATTTTTTATATAGAGGAGAAGGTGGTATTATGGAACCCCAATTACATTTTAGTGAATTGTAAACAAGGTATCATAACTACACCCACATTTTTTGTGCGAAAAGTACTGGTAACTAGTAAACTAAATGTTCCTAATTGGATTTTTCGCTAGTGTAATTATAAGTATGGTTTTTGAAGGCTTTTGTACAAAAAGTCCGAAAGTAGGCTTAGAGAAAATCGGGTGGTAATATGGAACCTTACTGTATATTTTCA